ATTGGGTCTATTTCTTTACACAGCAGGAATCAACATCTAGACTGGGTAACAAGGAAGGAATGTCCTTCAGATGAAACGTTAAACGAAAGTCCTGTCTGCCTCCCTGTTCAGGTCGATGTTAAATATCCCATGGGACCACTCAAAAAGGGAATGGAGTTTCTGTCTGTGTCCAGGCCAATAATTCCCCCTGATAAAATTGGACAATTCACTTCATGGCTGTTTGTGGGATACTATTGTGTGCAGTGTGGCTACTGTGTTGACCTACAAGTCCTACAAAATAAGTAGCCACCACATTTTATGGCAAATTCTGTGAAGCACTTTGAGACGTCCTCCTGATGAAAAAGGAGCAACATCAAATGCGCTGTTTATTTTATTATATTGCTGGAAAAGGCCAACACACTTGAATCACTTATTAAATGGCTTGACCTTACAATTTGCTAGTATTCTGGAATGGAGAGATCAAATGGAGACACATTTCTCTTCTTGATCTTGAGTAAGCTATCAAAATATATCCAAAATGAAAAAGGTCACGTTTGTGTCAAGCAGATGGAAATATAAGAAGGGGTTATTTTGTGGAAGCAAAACTACATGCAATTCATAATCATCTAAAAATAACAATATTTCAATGCAGCGATTATTTTAATGTTCCATCAAAGGAAAGAGGAACTGTTATGAAACTAATCCTGCATTTGGCTTTTAGTGCTATTCATATTCAATACGAAGGAAATTGCTGTTTTACACTGCAGTTAGGCAGTTTTATTTTCCACGTCTTATAACTACTGCATGTTAATGCATCTGGAGGGATGGGTATGCAAAAGGCATCTGCTTCCATTTGTGGTTCACATCTTTGATTACTGCCTCTGAATTTCATTCAGTTTCATTTGTGTTTCAGCTGCAGCTTGGCTCCTTCGAAGCTACCACAGCTCACGTGTCATGTAAGCGTTAGAGAGGTGCTCCATCCCGTGATGAAAACAGAGTGTGACAAAATTATTTTTCTAGAGAGAAACATGGATGTTTTGTGATCTTCTGATCTTGGGATTTGTATCCTAACCTTTTTTTTATTTTGACATTAAAATATATAGCATGCATCAGTGTTAATTGCCTCTCTCCTAGTTTGCTGAATTGCACAGATGTCTCTACTCTATTTTATTTTAGTGCAATACAGCATAACAATCTCTCTCTGTCTCGCTTGCTGGCTTGCTTCCTTTCTGGCTTCCTTCCTTTCTGGCTTCCTTCCTTCCTTCCTTCCTTCCTTCCAGATAATATTCCTAATAATCCTTGAATTTGATATAGCGTCTTATGTGTTCGAGGCATCTCAAAGCGCTTCACAGAATATACTGTAAACTGTAGTGACTGTATATTTTACAGTATATATCTACAGTCAATTCACTTTACAGTGTGTTGTGTGAAGCGCTTTGGGACGTCCTCCCGACGTGAAAAGCGCTGTATCAAATGCAAGGATTATTATTATTATTATTATTATTTTGTGGGGTATTTTTTAATAGAATTCCTTAATAAGGAATCCCACTAAAATTCCTGTTGACTGACCACTGGGAACAATGCTTCAGAAGGTGATCAGAAGCAGAGTATTATTCTATCCTGTGGGATAGAATAATGTGCTTCCAATTACCAGAGGGAATCCCCCCCCACCCTTGTTTTTTAAGGAATCCCTGGTATCAAACAACTGTATCACAGATAAGACCTAATTGTTTGAGAGAGATCAGTTTTCAGCTGAGCTGCTGTAAAGTGGACCTGTAAGGTGAATGCACTCAGCATATGTATTGTAGCAAACTAAAGCTTATCAGTGATTGAGCAACAAAACCAGGGAATTGTGGTAAATTTAGAAAGTATTTGCCTTTCATTGTTTTACCCAGTGTTTGTGGGACAGAACAGCTGCATTATTTTGTGGCTCACAGCCAAGGTTTTTAAAGAAACAAGTCATGATCCTTTCAACATAATCCTTTTCACATTTCCACCTAATCTTAGTCTGTAAAACCATTTTGTCTCAAAATTTACAATTGTGCAGGATTGTGGACAATTCTTAAATTCAGTAATCATTTCAAATTGATTTTTTAAGAATTGCAGTAAATCATATTCCAATTTAAGTCAGAATTAAAAATTTTCCACAATTCTGCAAGATCCTACATTTGAAGGCTAAGACCTGGTAGAATTTTGGGACCTAATTTATCAATTTCCCAAAGAGATCACATTAGCAGAATAAACAGTTATAAAGACATTTCTCGTACAGGTTGGAATATGCACCAATAAGAGCTTACCTTCATCTTCATTCCCTCTGGTTATGATTTCTTTAATGATATTATTTAACTGTAAAAGTCACGTATTGGAATTTAATCATGCAGGGATATCTGGGGCCTGAAATGGACTGACTTTCACAGTAAGTGAAATGGGCTTTCACAGTAAGTGAAATGGACTTTCATAATCGAAAATGTTGAAGGATGCTGGATATGTAATTTGTGGCTCAATAACCTTTCAAAGGTTTAAAGGTACTTTAAAGGTACTTTTTAAGTCTCCTCTGAAAGTTCAGTGGGTAATTGCATTGGTTACTGTATTATGGTGTTCAGCCATGATCAGATTCATATCTCACTGAAATATACAGGAGATGTTTAGCATAACAGAGTGGGAGGCATCACTGTGCTCTTTGAAACAAATGCACTTAGCACATGCAAAGACCATGGTAAATGTCAGACTGGGCTCATTTCAGTCGCATCCACCCCCTAATGCTTGGCTGAAATAATGTTTCAGTTAACATCCGGGCCAGATTTGGTAGCATTCAATGTAAAAAGGATGGACTTGTGGTAATTACTGTAAGTAGAATTAGGACAATAGAAACATATAAAAAATTCCATTTGGTATAATATGTTTCACATCAGGAACGTGCCTCAAAGTGCTTCACAGGAATAAATAATAATAATCCTAGCATTTGACATAGCACCTTATCATTGTAGAAATGTTTCAAAGCACTTCATGGGATATACTGTAAATTACCTTGAAGTGGAGTGACTGTGTACTTATAAGTGAATATAGTATCCAATTTATGCACAAACAGCCATGAAGTGATTAACCAGTTTTATTTGGAGGATTATTGCCTGGGACACTGGGAGAAACTCCCTTTTTTTTGGAATAGTGCCACGGGATTCATTTGGCCACAAAATACAGTCAATCCACTTTATCGTATATTCCATGAAGTGGTTTGAGTTGTCTCAACAACCTGATAAGGTGCTATATCAAATCCCAGAATTTGAGAATTGAAGGGGTTTGGGGATAATGCAGGTCAGCGAGATTGAAAGTGCAGTTTGCTTTTAGAGTCTGTGTTGTACCGATGGGCCTAATGGCCTCTTTCTGCGCGCTGTAAGTTTCTAGATGCAGTAAAAATTAGCTGGTGAAAGTTATGGCTCATCAGTGACTTTGGCAAAAATGAATGTTCAGACACCCAATATTTCCGTTATACGAGCTCGACATACATTGAAGGAAAATCAATGAAAAATCGAGAAAGAAAACAAAAAAAAATAATTTCCATCTTGGCTTTGTAGGTCAGGATACAAAATATGACTGAGCAATTTTGCGAGAAACCAGGTAAGCCAGGACAAAGCAAGATGCACTTAACAGGAATTTTCAACTGTAAATATGCATTTAACAAGAATCAAGCCAGTTGACGAAAAATGAAAACGGTTGTGGGTTTTCAGTTTCTAATCTCTGAGCAAAAACATTCACTTATTGGGCATTCTCACTGAGGGAGAAATGACTGGGCTGCTGTTTATCTTGCATTGTATTGAAGGAACAAGATTATGGACATGATACATAGTGAGGTTAGTGATGTTGCAGGGAATCTACGCCTATTCCCATTTGGTGCAACTAAGAGTTAACGAAGCATGTAAACTGAAACCCAGAGTGCGGTAAGGAATTAAAAGGATGATGAACTGTTGCTAAAATGACAAATATGTTAGGAAATCACTTTCAGATTATTTTTGGTTCAATGTGTGATGTTAGCTTCCAGTCAAAGCTAAACTTTGCTGAATGTTGAGCTCCTGCTTTAAGGGAGATTCCTAGCTTCTATAATGTAAAATTGATAACCTTTGCAGTCGGCCCGTCCCTAGCTCTGTGAACTTCTATGATCCTACTGAGCCAGTTGCTCCATCCGTTCAGCAAACACTGGCTTGTTTCATGATCTCTGTCCCAGCATCGACGAGTAAGCTTTCAGCCATTCTGTTGAAATCCACCCTGGAGTTCCTCCACCTTGACCGCTCCCTCCCTGCCTTCAAAACTCACCTTAAGACCTATCTTTTGACTCCAATTTCGGCCACCTTTGCTCTCCCTCCCCTAATTGGTAAAAAGACTACAAAGCATTTTGAAGGGATTTATGGAATCAGATGGGATAGCAAAGGTCCTACAAAGAGAGCTTGAGAGGGTATGCACATGGGCTGATAACTGCCAAGTGAAATTTAATACTGTTAAATGCAAAGCACTACATATAGGATCCAATAATAGAAAATGCAAGTAACAAAAACAAATTCCACTTATGTAGCCCCTTTTACGTTGAGAGGACATCTCAAGGTGCTGGACAAGGGATCTGCAACCGAGCTGTGGGTTGGGATGTGAGAGTGGTGGAGGGCAATTAAGGTTAGGATATATGGGATGGAGGAGGGAAGATGGCTGAAACAAGTTCAGTCTGAAGGCACGGTCGTAAAAGAAGGTTCATTTCTGCAAGTACTCCATGAATGGAAATTAACTTGCCAATGGGGAATCTGTAAGTGATCTAAGTGTGTTAAATGATCCATCACTCACTACGTCAAAATAATGTGAGGCAAGATTAAAAAATTGAAATAGGGTGCTAGGACATATTGCAAAAACAAGTGAGATTAGACCCCTATACATCATTCTCAGGTTGTACAGTGCTCTTGTCAGATCTGGAATACTGTGTACAGTTCTAATCACGGTGACATAAGGGCCTGCTAAGATAACAGAAAGTTTTTTTCACACAGGGGGTAATCAACAACTGGAACAGTTTGCAGATGGTAGGCCAGGACGCCGGACTCATTTAAAAAGAAGCTTGAAGCAGTGATGAGGTCGGTAGGGTGGGTGTTCTGGAGGGATGGAATCGGATGGGCCAAAGAAGTTACTTCTTCCAAACTAATCTTGTGATTCTGTGATCTAAAAAATAATGAAGTGCTTTGGCAAACAAAAATATTATGATTATTATTATTAAAGAACTGGATCTTGTTCTTGGGAATGCTTTGAGTAAGCATGAGAGTAATTATTTTATTTAGAATAAACTTTACATGTTTAAAGAACAAAGCACCTTTAGTGCAAATGCTGTCTTCTGTGCTGTTATACAAATGTAATTTGTTGTTGTTGTTGTTAATGACTTGTGCTTTGTGGGAATTAAATTGGAAGCACCCACTTGGTCGATAGAGAGACCGGGATTAGTATTCACTATATCTTTTCAAGCTTCAGCTGAACCAATCTCCCAGCAGTGGAAGGACATTTCATAATAGATTTGATGCACATTTTCTCCCAATTAATCTTTCTTGAAGACAGTTACCATCATGAACTCTTTAATTCTTACTGAATTATGATATAATTCTTTTTACAAATCTCTTTATGTCTTGGACGACAATCCCCCAAATAAAAACTGGACATTCACATCATGGTTGTATGTGGGACATTACTTTGTGCAAATTGGCTGCCAAATTCACATAGAAAAAACATGATCACTAGCTATTACAGTGTATCCTGTGGAGTGCTTTTGGATATCTCCAGATGCTACATCAAATGTAAGGATTTTTTAAAATTATCTGAGTACATGCAGGATTCAATATTCACAAACCCGTCTTCTCAAATTAGACCTCAATGCCTTCTGAGAATCCTGCTGTATATCATATGTAAATATATCATAAGAACTGGATTGTCCTTTTAATTATGACCTCAAAAAAAAGTCCCTGCAGCCAAAAAATCCCCACAGATTTGCAGAGACACACGCAGCATCCTCCATCACCAACCAGCCTTTGCCTTACATGAATAGCGATAACATTATGCTGACTGTAGACTATTTGGCTCCAATTTGTGGGTTAATGTCTCACTCCTTAGGGAATATTGGGACAGCATTCGCTCAGTCTCATTTCATAGTAGCAGAACATTTTAAAACACATTTACCTTCAGTATCAAGGACCTATTAGAATGATCTGAGGCTTGGGAGAGCATTGCAAATGCTTCTCACCCTCTATGACTTCCAGTTTGATCCAGAAATCAATGCTTTTTTTTTGCAGGTGTGACTTCCTTCCACAGTGAAATTATTGCACCAGATTTATGAAAGGTGCTGTGTCCTTAACAATTACCTTCACTTCATTTGGGATTTTTTTGCTATATTGCTATAAATATCCATTTACCAGGGCTGTTTCCTTTGTCCTTTGTCCATATTTGGCTTCATATTCATATTTCCTTTTCGTTCTGATCGATAGGTCTACTTTTGCATATCTGCACTGTGGTTTCCATGTTTGTTTGTCTCATACAAATTTCCAGAGCTAATCATCAGTGGAAACAATACTGGACCTTTCTCTAAAGGTCAGTGGCTCCATTTAGGGCTATTTAGTCAACATTTCATGCCATTGGACTATTAAATATAGCTACAGCTGATCCACCAATTGGATCAAAGGTTAAATATAGGGACTATAAATTCTTTGCACAGCATAACCAATGTGTAGACTGGTGAGATAATTCGGGGAGTAGGAAAAAAATACACCTAATTGTACATGCGAGATTCCAGTGAAGGTTCAGCGTGGTTTTTGTATGCAGAATGGTAGCCGCATCTAATCATTGGAAACGGCCTGAAGTAATAATAAATAATAATAATCCTTTATTTGATATAGCACCTTATCACATTGTTAAGATGATATAGTGTCTTATCACATTGTTAAGACATCTCAAGTGTTTTACAGAATATATTGTAAAGTGAATTGACTGTGTATTTTGGTGAAACAGGGCAGCCAATTGCGCACAGCAATGTCCCACAAACAGTCATGGAATGAATGACCACATTTTTTTGGGGGGGTGGGTGTTATTACCCCCGGAAAGTGATCCGCCATTCAACTAACAACAGGATTCCTACTTATTGCTAGGTAAACAGAGGCGCATGCAGTCAGGAAACTTGCCCAAGGTTTCGCCCCACCCAGGAATTGATCACACGCTCTCTCTCTCGCGAGGTGAGCGCGCTAACAACCACCACAATCCAAATGTTTCAGGAGATTTATTTGCTAATGGTATACACATTGTATATATAACTCTCTTTACAACAATGTTCACCATGGTACTATTGGTGGTGAGGACCAGATTTTGAAACGTTATGGTTCAATAACTGCTGAACACTGTCCCTCAGTTCTTTCACAGTACATCTCAATATCCTCCTCATGCACGTGCCTTTGATCATCTTTCCCTTCTCCATTTCCCTCGGCTCCCACACTCAGCTCGGGTACCAAGCCAGGACTGTCAAGCGCCCTGGGAGGTCTTCCTAATACAAAAGGCGCTATATAAATGTGAATTTGTATTATATTGTTACAATCCCTATTCGTTCCATTTCTCTAGCTTTCTGGGGCAGAACATTTCAAATCGTCTTCACAATCCTTTGTGGGGAAGAAAATGTTTTTTGTCAGCTTTTGATGTGTGATATGTTGGCGGTGAATTTTAACCAAAGCAACAGCTTGACTTCACAGAGCAGAATAACCTCAAAGGTGATAATAGTCAGTCTGTGATCAACAACAAATTATATTTAGATAGAACCATTCACGTGAGAAAAAACGTTCCAAGGCGCTGGGTAGTTAAGGGTTTGCACCCGAGTTGAGGTTGAAATCAAAAGGGTTGGAGGGTAGGGTATCAACAGTGCAGAGTGAAGCACAAAGGCGTGCAAAGCCACTTTAGATCACTAGGGTGCACTAGAATGTAAAACTGCTGCAAAAGCATTCAGAGGCATTGGAATAATTCAAGATAAGACATTCACAAGACATCCTATAATTAAGGCTATTAAGGGATATCTGGAAAGGGTAGAGAGTGCTGCATTGTCAGAGTTACTGTTCTCAGATGCCAAGATCTGTACAGATGGACATGAAAGGTCCCACGAGGCTATTTGAAAAGAGAAGGAAGCTTTTCCTGGTGGTCTGCTCAACAATTCCTAGAGATCTTGTTGAATAATTCTCCGGATAAAATCGTTCATTCTTTTTATAATAATAATAATAATCCTTGCATTTGATATAGCGCTTTTCACGTCTTCTGGACATCTCAACTCTCTTCAAAGAATAGACTGTAAAGCGAATTGACTGTATATTTGTGGGCGAAATGCGGCAGCCAATTACGCACAGCAGCGTCCCACAAACAGTCGTGGTTTGAAGTGACCAATTTATTATTGTTTTATTTTCTTGAGGGATTATTATCGGGCATGTGGAGTAAGGAAACTTACCCAAGGTTTCACCCTGCTGGGAAGCAAACCCAGGTCTCTCGCTTGCAAAGTGAGTACTCTAACCACTGAACTGTAGGATTCTACGTGCACTTCATGGCTGTGGGACATAGATGTGCCCAATTGTTTGCCTATAAATACATGTCAGTCCAATTCGCAGTAAATATCTGAGATGTCTCGACAATGTGACAAGGCATGCATAGAATCTAGCCTTGATCCTGCATGGTCTAGGGAATTGGTTGCATGAACCATTGCCAATCTAAAATGATGATTGAGATAAATATTTGATACGTGCTTGGTGGGAGAGAGGTTTGCTTTGGAGAACTTGTTCAGTCCTTCTTGCTCTTCAAAACTACAGCAACTAAATTACATTTGTAAAGTGCCTTTCACATCGGGAGGACGTCCCAAGGCACTGAACAGTCGGGGATCAGGTTCCGACTTTTGTTTGAAAGCAATATTGTTGTTTGAAAACAACTCTCAAAACAAAAAAAAAGGGAATCTACTGCTGGCTCCTAGCAAAGTAATGGCGAAAGTCAAATCCATGTAAATTGAACTAGTATTTTGTCAGATGTCACAGAAGACAAACTATTTCTATTAGAAATATTAATAATACACCTGAATAAAGCCCAACGTGAAGCCATTTGCACTAGCAACGTTTTCATCGCTAAATGTGCCAATATTTTAAGTAGCTGCCTGTATTTATCTTTCTTGTGAGATTAAATGCACTGTTCTGTGTTGTTTCATTGCATCACAGAGAATTTGGAACAGACTTGATAGTCCTGACTTGATTATCACTTACAAGAAATCAATCGTAAGGTGGCATTTATGATAGGGCAGTGTTTTGGTATAACCCTTTTCACTGTGGAAGTGAGAGGACATTCTCATACTGTTTCACAGAATTTACAGGAAAGTAACTGTATTTTATTGGCAAACCTGTTTAAACAAGTTAGAAAATCCAAGATAAGTCTCCTTCTGGTAAATAAACAGATGTCATGTCACGCTTGTTCAGGAACTCAAGAAAATCTCGCTGTAAAAATCAGATTAGTATTCCAATCATTTAGTGTCAGTTTCATATTGCTTGATTAAGAAATATTGCAAAGCCTAACCCAATTATTGTGTTCATTTGGGCCCATTCTCAACTATCTTTCACATTTTTCCATGATATCTGATGAAGATTGGAGAGACAGCAGTAGGGCAAATATAGCAAGAAGGGTAAACGCATTAGTTTTCTACTCTGTCAGCTTGGCTCAAAAGGATAAGAAAGTTTCTCCTGGTCAACAATCTTCCAGAATACTTACCTTTTTGTAGGACCTTACTGTCACAAATGTCTTCCATGTTTGCTATGAAAAGAGTGATCATGGTGGTTACTGTGAAGTGCTTTGGGATGCTTCAGTGTGATAAAGCATTATAAAAATCAAACTTCTTTCTTTCAAACACAATTGAGACAACAGGAATGGAGGATGAAGCCAGCTTGCTGGACTCATTAAAAATGAAACATTAGGATGATGGTAGGTCAGGTATTTCAGAAGGATGAGATCAAATTCTTCATTCAAATCTCTCTTGTGATCTTAAAATTTTGTTAGAAATCACAAGATCACAAGATTCGTCTGGATGAAGAACCATATGATCTCATCCCTCCAAAATATCTGCCATACTATCCTCCCATCACAGTATCAAGCTATTTTTATTTAAGTGAGACCAATGTCCTGGCCTCAGCCACCCTTCCTGGCA